TGACTGCGCACCCCAACCTCAACTTGTTTGCCGCAGGTGAGTCAATCGTGCTCTATTCCAGGTCCTATGCTGACAATACCAGGCCACGACAATGGCCTCATCGTCTTCAAGCTCGAGCGAGAGCGCCCTCCCTTCTCCCTCTCCGGCAACCAGCTCTACTACATTGACCGCAAGGTCATCCGCATGGGTGACCTCGGTACCGCCACCAATCAAGGCCTCTGCTCAGTCCGAAAGTTTGGCTCGCAATACATTCCTCCCCGTACCCTCAGCTTCAACCCCGCCGAGCGTGCCGTCCTCGTCACTTCTACCGCTGAAGGCGGTCTCTACGAGCTCATTACGCTTCCCAAGCCCGGGGCGCCTACATCGATGGACGGCAGAGATGTGCCTTCTGATGGAAAGAGGGGCACTGGGTTCTGTGCGCTGTTTGTAGCGAGGAACAGGTTTGCGGTGCTCGACAAGGGTGGTCAGACGATCGAGATCAAGGACTTGACCAACACTACTACCAAGACGATCAAGTGCCCTGTTCAGACCACCGAGATCTTTTACGGCGGTACCGCTTCGCTCTTGCTTGCCACCCCTTCGTCCGTGGTCTTGTTTGATATCCAGCAGGAAAAGGTGCTTGGCGAGTTGACGACCCCTCCTGTCAAGTATGTCGTCTGGAGTCCCGATGGCAACTCTGTGGCTCTCTTGAGCAAGCACACCATCACCATCGCCAACAAGGCCCTTGCCCAAACGGCTCTCATTCATGAGACTATCCGGATCAAGTCTGCTGCTTGGGACGATAGCGGTGTCCTCATCTACACCACCCTCAACCACGTCAAGTATGCTCTTCCCCAGGGCGACAACGGTATCATCAAGACACTGGAGCAGCCCGTCTATCTCACCCGAGTCAAGGGGTCTGTGGTGTACTGCCTTGACCGACGTGCCAAGCCCCAAACCATCTCTATCGACCCCGCCGAGTACCGATTCAAGCTCGCTCTTACCCGAAAGAACTATGATGAAGTCCTCCATATCATCCGCACTAGCAACCTCGTCGGTCAGAGCATCATCGGATACCTCCAGAAGAAGGGATACCCCGAGATTGCTCTGCATTTCGTGCAGGACCAACAGACAAGGTTTGACCTCGCCATCGAGTGCGGAAACCTTGCTGTCGCGCTCGAGATGGCCCGAGCGGTTGACAGGAAGGAGGCTTGGGAGAGGCTGGGAGCTGCGGCTTTGCAACAGGGCAACCACCAGATTGTCGAGACTGCGTACCAAAAGACGCGCAACTTTGACAAGTTGTCGTTCCTCTACCTCCTCACGGGAAACACTCAGAAGCTTGGCATGATGGGCGTGATTGCGGCCAAGCGAGGCAACAACATGTCTAGATTCCAAAACTCGCTGTACTTGGGAGACGTCAAGTCTCGAGTTGAGGTGCTCAAGAGCACTGGGCAGTTCCCTCTTGCGTACTACACTGCCAAGACGAACGGACTGGATGACACTGCTCTGGAGATCCTCGAAGAGGCTGGTTTGACGGAAGACGACTTGCCTCCTCCTCCCCAAAACTCTGGCCACTCTTGCATCGCCCCTCCCCCCGTCGTTTTTGCTCAAGAGTCCTCCAACTGGCCGCTCAGGGACCTCGGGGACAGCTTCTTTGACCGTGCCCTTGCCAACGGCGGTATCGATGCCGCTCCCGAGGAGACTGGCGAACAGCTTGACGCTTGGGCTGCTGGTGACGAAGCTGCTTCATCGCGGGTTGAAGAGGACGATGAGGAAGAAGGGGATGAAGATGAAGGCTGGGACCTTGATGCAGATGTGCCGGTCGAGGCGGAGGAGGAGGAAGAGGTCGAGCAAGACATCTTGGTTGATGAGGATGCAGAGGCTGATCTGAGTCAGGGTGTGGAGGCTGGAGTGAGTGAGGATGAATTGTGGGTGAGGAATTCGCCTTTGGCGATTGATCATGCTGCTGCGGGGGCGTTCGAGTCTGCCATGCAGGTAAGTCTCAGACTTGATTCGACGTGCAAAAGCTAACAGAGGGTAGCTTCTCAATCGACAAGTCGGTATCGTCAACTTTGAGCCGCTCAGACCAATGTTCCTCCAAGCCTACCAAAGCTCACACGTCTACATCCCCGCCAACGCCTCCCTACCGCCCATTCGATACAATGTCCGCCGCGATCCCGAAGCGACCGAGATTGGTCAGCAGTTGCCCGCGATTCCCTTTTCTCTGGAAGATATCAAGGCCAAGGAAGTGTCGGAAGCGAACAAGGCGTTTGGGAGGGGCAAGTTTGTCGAGGCTCTTGCCGGGTTCAGGGCCGTGTTGCAAAAGATCCTGGTGGTCGTTGTCGAGACTGATGGGGAGGCTGAGGAGGTTGCCGAGCTCGTCGAGTTGGCTCGAGAATATGTCGTCGGTCTCACCCTTGAAGTTGAGCGTAGACGGATTGCAGTCGACCCTGAAAACGTCGTCCGCAACCTCGAGCTTGCGGCGTACTTTGCCAACTGCAAACTCTCTACTGCGCACACCCAGCTTGCTGTGAGGAGCGCTATGAAGGTGTTTGCTGAGGCGGGCAACAATGCCACAGCGGCTGTGTTTGCGAGAAGACTGGTGGATGCTGGCGTGGCTCAAGCTCAGGCGTTGACTCAGGTATGTCTTTATGCGTGTGAGAACGAAGTGGGCAGAGCTGACAAGAATGCAGGCTCGAGCTGTCATTGCTCAAGCTGACCGTAACCCCCGAGACGCCCACGAGATCAACTTTGACAAGTTTACACCGTTCGACGTCTGCCCCGCCTCCCTCACACCAATCTACCAAGGCTCGCCGGCCGAGGTCAGCCCGTATAGCGGGGCCAAGTACCTGCCAGAGTACAAGGGGACGATCTGTGTGGTTGACGGGCTGAGTCGGGTGGGTGCTGGGGGTAGTGGGCTGAGAAGTAGGATCTAGGTAGAGAAGGAGGGGCTGTTGTAGACGCTATACCTGAAAAGCCAACCATGAAAAGTAGAAACGTGTGATTATTGATGGCTTGCATGAAGGCTATGGAAATATCTTGCATCGGGTACGTGACTGAGGGCGCCGTTGAGTCGAGAAGCACGATGATGCCACTTGGCGGCGCCACCCGCCGAATGCTCCCGTGCGGTTGCGCTGCGCGTGCAAAGAATGACGCATGAGGGAGCACACCTTTCGATTGGACAGTGGCGAGTGAGTGGGAGTCAGATGACATATATATAGCCCATGCATCCCCCCGCTTCTCTCCATCTTGCCCATCATGGACCATCTCGCAGACTTTGTGCCCACCTCCACCATCTCCATCAACCCCCCGGGAGGCACCCACACCCACCATCGTGGCGGCCACCACTCGCACCTCCCTGTCCCCACCGACGTCTTTGTAAGTCCTGCCCGTCCCCCGTAGCTCCCCGCTCATCTGCCTCAGCCCTCGGCCTCTGCCAAGTTTCTGCACGTCACTCACTCGGGCCATGTCGCTGCCTGGGTCTTTACCGCTGTCTTTGCCGCTGGCTTGGCCGCTTCCGTCTTCCTCGTCACTAGGACCCCGAAGAAGAACCGTCTGTTCCATGGGTACGCCGCCTCCCAAGTACAGCCGGCAAAGCTAACAATGACACAGCATCTCTTCCGTCATCTTGCTTGTCTCTACTCTAAGCTACCTCTCTTTGGCTACCCACATCGGCGCCGACACGATTGTCCCGATCTACCACCCTCCCGGCCACTCTGACCCCCTCGTCCGCCTCTGGCGCCAGATCCTCACTGTCCGCTACATTGACGCCGCCATCACCCTCCCGCTCATCCTCATCACCCTCAGCCGTCTCTCGGGTGTCAGCCCCGCTACGACGGTGACCATTGTGATTGCGCAATTGGTAGAGGTGTATGCGGCCTGGGCTGGGAGTGTGTCGGGTGGATGGCCTTGGGGCAAGCATGGTAATGGGGCTGGTCCCAAGTGGGCCTGGTTTGCTATTGCTGGTTTGGCCTTTTTTGCCGTTTGGAGCGTTCTCTTTGCCCAAGGCCGAAGGGCTGCCGTCCACAGGCTTCGATCCACCCAAGGTCTCTTCTATCTCCTTTCTGCCCACGTCTTTATGTAAGTCCTTTTTGCCGTCTCGATACCCAGCTGACCACTCATCAAGCCTCTCTGCCGGTCTTGGTATCATCTGGATCCTTACCGAGGGTCTCAACGTCATTTCTGTCGATGCCGAGCTTATCGCCTATGGCATTTTGGACATTGCCAACAAGGTCGGCTTCACCCACGTCCTCTTGCTCTTGCACAAGGCCGATGAGGAGGGGCCTTGGACGCTCCCTGCTTGGTGGGCGGAAGACCCCGAGAATGAGGGCGAGGACGGGCGAGGCGTCTATGGCGCTGTTGCCAGTGTTGGTCAAGAGTAAGGGTGGCTCTTTGAGCTGTCCATGCTTACATGCCAGGACTACAACTGAGAAAGATTAAGAAGAGAAGGCAATACGTAACGTGAAAAAGAAAAAAGTCATGTAAAGTAGAAAGAAGTCGAAGCATGAAGCCTGTGTCATTATGCAAACGAAATTTTTTGTGGTAGTTGAATGACGGCTACCCATCATGGATCGTGTTCTTCATTGAGAGCATAGTCGTCCATCAATTCTTGCACAGGGTTCATAGATGGAACTTTTTAACTGTACCATCATTGACTGCTCATATCTTCTCATGTCAGGCGGTTGTGGGGCACATTGATCATCTGTCGAGGTGTGCTCGGACTCTGTATAACTTACAAACCGATATTGTGTACGGATTAAAGGCTGGAACTCGCCTTTATGAAGTAGGAATTCCGAGTAATCGCGTATCATAACGACGCGGTGAAGTATACCTCTGGGTGCTGGAGATATACATTTTCCCTACGAATTCCTAACTCGAAGAGATACGCTATAACAATTCGACTTAGATAAGAGAAAACGTAAAACTGTGAGGGATGGGTAGATGGATGGACAGCCGTATGGAAAGAGAAAAAAGAATAGAATAACCAAAGAACCAAAAAAGAACAAAATGAATGTAAAAAAAATCCACGGTGGTGATCGAAACCACGACCTCTTGATCGTCTCGATTACGAAATCGTAGTCAAGCGCACTACCACTGTGCTACGCGGACTTGATATCTATTTTGCCATATGCTTTAATATATTCTGTACCAATACTGCCATCCACCGGCCATGGGATGGTACGAGGAAGAATGCCGAGCAGAGTAAAGTCTAGCAGAAAAGTCTTTAGGAGATCAAACAAGAATGTGCCAAGTGAGGGCTCGCTTCTCTCTCCATCATCCTGACAATCCTCTCCAAATCACCCTGTTGTCCCTCCCCTTCCCCTTCCCCTTGCTCGCTCTCCCACTCTGCCTGCTTTCTCTTGTCCCTCTTGTCATGCCTCTCTTCTTTTCTGGCCCCCCTTCTTAGTGGTGGGCGGTTGGCATGCAATTCTTATAGACGAGTTTAGACGCTTCCAATAAGTACAAGCAAGGAGGGTGGCGGCATTGGGCCTTGGGACCTCGTTCCGCTTCTGCCGTTTATTACTTCTTCCCCTCAATCGCAAACACCAGAGTTACCTTCCGTGCAATACGTGGGTCCACGTCGAGAAAGGAAAGCAGCTTGAGAAGAAGTCATCATACGCGCGCAACCAAGACGAGCGACAAAGGAAGGTATCACAGCCTTACTTTGAGTGGATATTTGATGGTATCATGGTCAGAGATGCCGTCAACAACAGTGCCAGTCTTTCGTTTCATCAATGTTGCTGTGTATGAACAAAGGAGACCCAAGCACTAGAGACGGCCAGTATGGGAACTGACGCCTGGGGGTGGGTCACCATGCAATTCGGCCATTAGTCTCAGGAAGCTCAGGAGCATGCACGCTGCATGCACTGCTTCAGGTGCATGAGGCCCATGAGGCCCCATGCATGGAGGCTAGACACGCTTTCCTGCCCATACATACTCAGAGCCCCAATTTCGAGCACTGAGGCATGGAGCCTTGTCACCTTGTCACAGCTCTATCAGCATTGGACTCCAGCGGCTGTTCTGGCTTCTTAGTCTCATCACTCAAGCAGTTTGAGCCCCCATGTACTGCTTCCCGAACAATGGTGGATGACCGCGAGAATGAACATGCACGTATCGATGAAGCATATGCATTATTGCGACAAACCGAAAGTTGAAACTCTCTGTACTTTCTATCCTTTTTCCGTCTACCATCAAGCAACACCAGCGGTCGTTCTCCCGATAGCCTTCATAGCAGCACCCTCCAATACTGGCAACGCCTTGCCCTCCTTCTGAGGTCTGTCCAAGAAGCCAGCCCTGATAAGCCAAGCAACATACAGACCAAGCTCCTTCTCCGTCACACCCGACGTTCTCGGCTCGCCAGAGGCAGCCGCCAGCTCCTGCGCATTCGTATCATCCAGCTCGGCAGACTTGGTGCTCGTGGGCAGGTCATCAAGGACGAAATGCAGCAGCGGGAAGAGGGCATTGTCTTGCGTCTCGAGCACGTGCTGCTCGAGCTTGGTACGCCACTGGATGTACTCGACGCGCTGAACGTCGTAGCCGAATGTTTGGAGAGACCCAAGGAGGTCGTTGAAACGGAGCTTGGGGTGGCCAGTGACGTGCATGATGTTGAAGGCGGATGATGCTGAGGAGGAGAGCGCGGAGAGGGAGGAGAGGCGGGCGACGTGGTCGACAGGACAGCAGGTGATGGCGTTGTTGATGTCGGGGATGAGACCCAATTGGATACAGCCCTTGACCATTCGCCAGATAAAGTCGTCCGTGTTGGTGACTGATGTAGATTAGCAGACGTCCACATACAACAAAATGACACTCACCGGCAGTCTCAGAGTGACCAAGCACATAACCGGGTCTCAAGATCCATCCCGATAATCCCTTCTTACCAGCTTCCATGATGAGCTTCTCAGCCACCCACTTGCTCTGCCCATATCCAGTGTCCAACCCAGTCCTTCCATCCTCCAAATCATCGCTCTCCGACAAACCCTTGCCATCGGCCTGGACGGCCACATCCGCCTTGGCAACAAACGCCTCAGAGTCGAGGACCGAGGTACTCGAAACAAAGGAGAACTGCTTGCTGTGATGTTGCGCACAGAGCTGGAGGCAAGTGAGGGTAGAGATGACGTTAGCGGCACGAAGCTTGGGGTAGGGGTAGACCCAGTGGACGATGGCACCATTGTGCACAACAGCATCGGCGTCGACGGCGACTCGATCCCAGGTGGCCTGGTCAAGACCAAACTTGTCCTCGGCAAGGTCACCGACAACAGCCTCGACTCGGCCTTGCTTCACCCAGTCTTCATCCCAAGCACCACGTCCCTCGCCACTGTCGCGCAATCTTTGCAGACCTTGTTCAGTGGTCTTGGCACGGACAAGGCAGATGACCTTCTTAACTCGGCGACCGAGAAGGTCACGCAAGATGAAGGCACCGAGGAAACCGGTGGCACCAGTGAGAAAGACGGTAATCTCCTTGGTAGCAAAGTCGGCAGGAAGGGGAGCAAAAGTGGGGAGGTGCTTGCCCAGAATTTCCACGTCGGCAGCATAGTCAATGGCCTTCTCGGCCTCGACGACTTCCTCGCCAGCACCAGAAAGATCGGCATTCCTCAAAGCGTCAATCTCGGCAGCTTGCCCACCAATGGTAGGCTTGTCAAAGACAAGACCAAGAGGGGCATTGACAACAAAGGCCTTTCGGATCTCAAAGATCAAACGCGTGGCAAGAATAGAGTGGCCGCCCATGTCGAAAAAGTTTTCGTCGAGAGCGACCTGGGGAGGAGGCGACGGCAAAAGCCTAAGCCAGATGTCGTGGATGGTCTTTTGTGTGGGGCTGAGGTCGGCTGTAGAAGCAGCAGGGGCAGGGGTCAAGAGGCTGGTATCGGGGAAGGGAAGCGCAGGCTTGTCGATCTTTCCGTTGGGGTTGAGAGGAAGCTTTCGCAGAGGGAAGTAGACGGCGGGAATACTGTAGCTGGGGAGCTTCTTCTTGAGGTACTCTCGGATATCCTTGATCAACTTTCGGTACTTTTTGACGCCCTTGATCATCTCGGATCCCAAGTCGAGTTCCTCCTCATCTTCAGCCGCTTCACTAGCGCTCATCAAACCCTCGAGGTCGCCATCGGTCGGAACAAAGTAGCTGACAAGCACCTTCTCTTCATCCTTGTCACGCCTGACCAAAGTAACATTCTCTCGAACGAGAGGGTGTCGACTGAGGTGGGTGTCGATTTCACCGAGCTCAATTCGGAAGCCTCGAATCTTGATCTGGTCATCGGCTCGGCCAGTGCATTCCACGCGACCGTCGGGGAGGTATCGACCCAAATCACCAGATCGGTACATCCTGTCTCGGATACCAAACCAGTGCTCTGCAGCCTTGGGGTTTTTGTCCTTGAGCGTGTCTACCCGCTCAACACCCTGGCCGAACCAGTTGGTGACAAACTTTTCGGCGGTAGCGTTGGGGTCAAGGTAACCCTCAGCGAGTCCACCAGATCGGACGTAGATCTCACCCATCTCACCGACAGCACATGGCACATTTCGGTCGGTCCTGTTGACGACCAAAAGCTGGACGTCGATCATACCCTGACCAGCGGGGATGAGATCCTTCTGGGTAGTAAGGAAAGTGCTGTCCTCGTTGACACTGGGGATAGCAAAGTAGGACACCGCACGCTGAGTCTCGGTGGTACCGTACATGTTGATGATGCAGACGTTCTTGGCGAGGGACTGAAGACGGGTGCAGTCACGCTTGGTGAGAACGTCACCGACAAAGAAGGCGTTTTGGAGAGCGGGGATTTGGCGAGTAGCTTGGGCTGAAAGAAGCTGACCCATGGCTATACAATGTCAGCAAGGATAGACGAAAAGACTATTGTTACTTACCAGGAGTCAAGTGGGTCACAGTCACTTCGCTGTCGGCCATCCACTCGGCCAATCGTCCAGGAGTACCAATGTCATCCGCAGTGGGAACGTGCAGTTGAGCGCCCAAGAACAGAGGAGTGAACACTGAGACTCATCAGCTGCAATTCTGGAAGAATCGACCAAACTCACTGTCACGCTGAATAGGGTCGTGCGCGATACCACTCAACATGGTGTACTTGGAGTTGTGGTCCAAGCCAAATCTCTTGCCCATCCAAGGGAAGAAGTGCGTCAAACTGTAGTGCCTACCCTTGACACCCTTGGGGATACCAGTGGAGCCAGAGGTGAAAGACAGAGTCGCGGGTGAGTCGGGGCCGAGGACGACACCTGCGGGAGTCTGAGAGTACTGCTGGAATGGCGCGAGGATGTCTTCGGCAGAGCCAGCCGGGGAACCAGTGACCCCAGAAGAAGTAAGCTGGATAGCAGGAACCAGAAGGCGGAGGGAGAGGTTGTCGTTGATGTAGTCTGACACCAGAGGAGCAAGCTTGCCAGCACTGGAGATGACGAGCAAGGCTCTAGGAGTAGACACTGAGAGGTAGACGTTCTGACGGGATGGGGGGTAGGCAGGATCGACGACAGAGAAGACACCACCAGCCTTCAAGATACCCATCACACAGACTACCATCTCGACACTTCTCGCGGCATACACCATCACGACCTCACCCCTCTCCAAACCATTCTTTAGCAAAGAGTGGGCAACAACGTTACTCGCCTCGTCAATCTGCTTGTAGGTAAAGATTCTCCTTCCCCGACTCGGCCCGTCCATCATTGTCTGACCTTCCGCGGGCTCGCTCTGGACTACACAGACGCTGTCAGGGTTGGCCTTGGCATTGGCAGAGAAGATGTCTGGGATGGCGCCGACAAAGCCACACCAGTCAAGGTCGGCGGCAGGGTCCGGCAACGCCGATCCTTGCTCCTGCGTGCGAAGAGGGAGGGAGCCGATCGGGTGGGCAGGCTCATGAGAGGCAGCCGAGGAGAGGAGTTGGAGGAGAGACTCGAGGGTGGCGGTGATTCGACCCTGGGTAAAGAGCAAAGAGTTGTAGGAGAGTCTCAGCTCAAGAGGGGGCACAGAAGTTCGGGTGGCCGGAGTATCGCTGGGAGACGCGAGCAAGTAGAGGGTCAAGTCTGTGGAGAGAGACGTCGAGGGGTCGGTGACAACTTGAGTAGAGTCAAAGAACCTCACTCGATAGAGAGGGCCCTCCGGCTTGATGTGGTCCACCAGA